CTTTACCGTCTCCGAGCTACCGAATTCTTCGGTTCTGAAGAACTCTTCGAGAACTCCAGTCGGCGAAGAAGAATCTGGAGCTTTCATTGCAATGCGCTGATGAAGAAGACAAGACAAAACTGGTTTGAATTTGGACAGACACTTTTTAGCATCTAATTTTTGAACTTCAAGCGGCGCAATTTTTTTTTTTCCGCGTAAAAAGGTAAAATTATTAATTCTCTTTTTTCCCTTTCTAATAATTTTGTTTTTGTTTTAATAAATAAAAGACATGGAAATTTTGCAAGCAAAGCTAAAGAAAAAAACATCAGAGGAGAGAGAAGATGTCTAAATGTTTATTTGTTTCCAAATCAAAACAAACAGATTTTTTTTCCTTTTTGGCAACAACCTTAGCTAGTGCACCGACAAATCCCTATAAAACTATTTTCTATAAACCAATTTTGGTAATTGAGTGACACAAGTACATAATATGCATGAGAAATTAGACATCATCTTGTTATTAAAACAAGTGTTGGACAATCTCTCAGAAACGCATATTTTGGAGAAAGGGAAAAGGCCAAACAACAACTTATTTCTAAACGTTTTTTACACATATCAAATAAGTTTAATTCGATATTAAATTATATCAAATATAGCCAAAAACAGTAGCCAAGAATGAAGAGTAATGCAAGAAGTAAATTACTAAGAAAATATAAAATTAATTCAACAAAAGAATGAAACATAAAAAGAAGATGTGGAATCTAAGAAAATAAGAAAATCATATCTTGAAATAGGAAATATACCATGAAAGAAGAGAAACCAAGTACAATCTGAAACTCAATATATTCTGCTAGCTGGATGAAGTGAGAGAAAGTAAATTGTGGAGACTATCACTTAAGGTTTGATAAACCATCCCTTTCTTATCAAAATATATAGGATAGTCCAATGTACTCTCTTTTAATGATCAAGATGATGGAGATATAAAGAAATTGAAATTGAATTATTTTCGCTATGTGAATTAGATATATTTCTTAGAGGAGACTTGAAATTGAATTTTAAAGAGAATTTTTATTTTTTTTTACAAGGATTTGAACTTGCAAAACCTTTTTTCATTATATCTAAAATTTGTTTGACCAATAATAGTGGTCGAAAATATCTGACCAATAGTGGTTGCAATTTTCTGACCAAAAAGAATGGTTGAAATTATATTTCTACCAATTTTCGACCAAATATTCAACTAGTTTCTGCCCAACTTATATATTGGATTTATAAATATTAAAAATTTATATTCAAATTTAATTTATAAATATTTGATTCATAATAACTTAAATAAAAGTAAATGTCTTAAAAATAGAAATGAAAGGTAATATAACACATAAAAATACAATATTTTTATACAAGGAACCAAGTTTAGAAATTGCTTGAGTAGAAACTTCTTAAAATATTTGAGCTGTTAAAGAGTGGAAATGCTATTTTCCAATCAATATTCATCAATTGGGTACATAAATCTTGGAAAGGTGATGATGCAACTAGATGCTAATGAATTTCACAAATTTCAAGATGGTGCAATTAATCAATTGGATCTCCAAAAGAGCCGTCGAGACACTCTATATTGAACATGACACTATGTTTTTAGACAATGCATTGTCTATACACGCACACCTATAGATAGATATATAGATAATGATGGGCCTACGAGTGATACATAGTAGATCAACCAATCTCCAAATAATTTACATATAACGTTTCTACCAAACTGCACTCATTTTAGAGTAATTAAGGGATTTTTCTTTGAGAAGAAGATACATTAATATAGACTAACAATCATTTGGTTGTCTTTAGTTGTTGTTACGTGGTACAAATAATACCAAAGCATACTTTACGAGCAAATCAAGGCATAATTATTGCAACAACCACTTGTTTTTTCTTTGCTTTCTTGTTTGTTTTCAGTACGACTTTACACTTTCAATAATTTACCAGCCATTAAGCTGTCGATTAGTTAAGAAATCTTGATAATTTAGCTAATATTGAAAGAATACTAAATCACTCATTGATTTGCATATTGTAAATAGTAATGAATTACACTACTACAATACTGAAACCTATTTTAAATGATAAAAACTGATGTGGAGAATCAAAATAAACGAAGAAGACATTGTAGTTAACTTAAACATACAAATGTATATTTAAATGTACAGTCACCTTAATTTTCTTCAAAACGTAAAGGTATTCATATAAGTCTGACTAGAACTGCTCGTGTTTTTGTATCAGAAGCTTGCGATTTAGGTTTTGATAAAACAAGTTTTGATTGTTGGGATAAAAGTGAAACTTTCATACAATATGTGCTCCTCCTAGTTTTAATAGGTTTGCCAAATCGTTTCCAGAAACCAGTATTGCAATTGAGTAAAAAATGATGGAGTGTAATAGAGATGAAGCTAATCGGGCATTGCTTTTATCTGAGAGCAAACTCTTAGAAGAAAAAGATTTTGTTGTTGCTCAGAGATATGCTGAGAAAGCTCGAAGTCTTTGGCCAGAAGTAAAGGGGTTAAAATTAAACAAACGTTTGCCATTCTCAATATCTACAAGTGTGCTAGTAGAAAGGTCAACGGAGAAGAAGTTAGAGACTTGTATGGCTTGCTTGGTATCAACGCGTTAGCTTCCGAGAAATCAGTGATTACTCAATACCGAAAGCTGTCTTTGCTTCTTCATCCTGACAGGAATAGTCGCAAAGCCGCTAAAGGTGCGTTTAAGCTGCTTACTAAGGCCAAAGCCTCTTGACTGATAGAATTAAAAGGAAAGCTTGTGATGAGTAGCTATTGCCAGCAATATTCTTGTTGTTATTCTCACTTGAGTCATGGATTATTAGAAGCAATTTTCCAGCTCTTGTATGTTTTCTTCAAGCATTCATACGTAATGCTTCTCATCAGCTTACCGAAGAGAATCGCTTTCGCACCGTCATAGGGATAGTTGAGTTTTCTGGTTCTATTTCAGGAAATAGAAGACCATATGGTTTTACAATAAAGATGTACATCGACTACAGTGAGATATCCGGTTTTATCAAAAATACTAGTTTGGTTCATTCGAGATAATGATCTACTTCTTCACATCCACCACGCAATGCATGTTGTTATTGATAGACAAAAGAATTATGGTTTGCTTTTATGGAACGTATATGGAAAATACTATTTGATAACATGGGATTTTTGCCCATATTTGCTATTGTTTTCTTATGTTTTAGGGAGCATTTGGAGTGGTTTCAGAGCCAAGAAGGTGATATTCAAGTAGGAGTCAAGAAGGTTTTAAGAGTATTTGAGCATTAGGCGATCAAAACCCGTTTCAAGACAGTTTATGTACGTCAGAAGTATGACGTCTGTTCAAGGTCTTTCCGATTAGCAAATCCAAAGATCTCGGTAGCTATGGAAATCTAGAAGAGTCAAGATTTGCCTCGAAGTCGAATCGTAGCAATCCAATAAGTCATTCGGAAGTTATGACCAGAAGACTGAAGACATATCCAGATCGGCCAGAAGCTATGCAACCGTTCTGGAGCTTCAAGGCCACACCGGTCATAAGGCCCGTGCCTGGTGTTGGACATGGGCCTTGCCTCCTATATGTTAGGAGGCCCAAAAAAGATGTCCACAAGTTTATAAGGGGGCCTTGATCACTATAAAGAGCCAGTTAAGCCCAAAGGGGCAAAACCGTCATTTACGAGATAGAAGGAATTTTAGAGTTCAGACTCCCTATAAATAGCAAGAAACACTATTGGGAACAGGATCCGATCCAGAGGTTATTAACTAGCAGAGAAGAAAAATCGTTGCTTAGCCCGAAATCGTTGCCTAGCCCGACATCGTCGCCTAGCCCGAAATCGCCGCTACGCTCGTTTTCGTGTTCTATCTTTCTGCTTAGTACGTTAAGTTCTCGGCTCGGCGGATAGTCTATAACCGCCGCGGCGAAACTAACTTCCTATAATCTTTTGATCGCTACTATCGTTAATAAAAAGGACTAGCTCCGTTCACCCCCCTAAAATCTCGTATATTATTATTGTTGCAACCTAGGTACAAACAATTGGCGCCCACCGTGGGGCTAGTTCGAAGCTATCCTTTTTTGCCGAGACAATGAACATCGAGTCTCAAACGATCCGCGACGACATGACGGACACCTCAAGCGACTGAGGAACTGACACTGGCGCGCCAACAGCGTCCGACGCGCTGGGGCTACCTCCGCTGAACCCAGTAGCTGCCCGCGCCGAGCTAGATCCCTCGCGCCGCCTCTTGTTCACACCTAACACAGGGATGGAGTCCGATACTGCTCACGCCGTCCCGGCTCCTGGCGCACCTACCGCACTCGCCGCAGCCGCCGCAGTAGGAGCAACTGAAGGCACCGCACCAGGACGTGCCCGAGCCGCACACCAAGGCACCCACATGGACGATCTCATTCAGACCATTCTGGATAGGCTCGACAACCAAGACGCGCGGACCACAGAACGGATCAATGCCCTCGTAGCCGCACAAGTCGCTTCCCAGAGCCAGATCGAACGACTAGGACGCCGAAGACGTACTTCCCAACCCCACGATAACCAGGAAGAGCTGCAGTCTCCACGAACCCCGGTAGCCGAACGCATAGAGATTCGACGACGCGGCCCAGTATCTATCATCGTTGGATCCATCGACGAACATCCCCGCCAGAATCTGCTGCACGGCGAAAACATGCAAAGCGTCCTGAATCTGCCGCACGACGAAAACTACAAAGCGCCCAGAATCTGCCGCACGGCCAAAACATGCAGAACACCCTGAATTTGCCGCACGGCCATACTATGCAAAACGCCCAGAATTTGCCGCACAACCACATCGTGCAAAGCACCCAGAACATGCATTACGGCCACAACTTGCCGAGCGCCCATCATTCACAGCACGGTCACCATCTCCAGAGCGGCCATCATCTTTTGACCGGACATAATCTGCTGAGCGGGCACAACCTACTTAGCAACCAAGCCGCGGACTCCGTACGACTCTTGCATGGTCGCCCCTTTGCCGATGACAACCGTTCTCATGATCAGGAGCTTACAAGGTTGAACGCCTTAATAAGAGACATGTCCTCAAAAATGCATCGGGCCACTACCGCGGCGCCGGAACTAGAAAAGGTTTTGGAAGAAACACAACGCTCGCCGTTCACAGCGCGCCTCTCGGCTGTCCATGTTCGTTATGTTAACAAAGTTAAACTGGTCCCATACAACGGCTTCACCGACCCGAAAATCTTCCTCAAGTCGATGTGCATCGCCATCAATCGCGCGCATTTCACCGTCGAAGAAAGCGACGCTGGGAGTTGCCAACTGTTCGTGGAAAATTTGACAGGGGACGCGCTAAATTGGTTCTCGCGACTCGAAGTTAACTCAATCAATTACTATCGCGAACTAACAGCCGTTTTCCAACAGCACCACTCGGTTTTCATGATCAAGGAAGCCATGAACGCCGATCTTTGGACCATGTCTCAGAAAGAGAGCGAACCGCTTAGAACATTTATTGAGAGGTTCAAGAAGGTTGTGTCTAACATAGCCATTACCGATGATGCGGCAATCGGAGCCCTTCAAAATGCGTTATTGTTCAGGTCACGGTTCAGGGAAGACCTTATTATCGCTCGGCCCTCTACACTGGACGATGCTCTACACCGAGCCAACCGTTATATCGAGATCGAAGAAGAGAAGGCCGCATTGGTGGACCACCAACCGAAAGCATCTAACTTGAAGGACAAAGCTCGCGAAGACCACTATGAACCTCGACAGCATTATGATCGCGAATATGCTAAGAACGATAAAGGAAAGAAAAACTCGTCGTTCGCCATCAACGGCCAGGACCCGAAATCAAACACCCCTTGGAACAAGTATTACCGCGACACTGACTCGAAACGTTCTTATTGCGAATTTCATAAATTCGCGGGTCATTCCACCGATGATTGCCGGCAACTTCAGCTCTTGCTACTTTCTAAGTTCAAAAACGGTAGCATCGAAGTCGAGCATGATCAACGCAAACGCAACGATAGAGAGCGCAATGAAGAGCCCAATCAATTAGAGCAGGCACGTAGAGCCATCCAAAAGCTGCCTGGCCCCCCTAAGAGGAATCACGACGCGCCACGGCAGGACGACCCACTTGTCCCTCGGCGGAAAATTCACATGATAATGGGCGGCCTAACAATTTGTCAGGATTCCGTCCGTTCAATCAAGAATTATCGACGCCAAGCAGAAGTGCAGCGAGATTGGATTGCCAGCAGCACGCCAGCCTTTGCCAATACCGACCCGATCACGTTCACTGAAGCCGATGCGTCCAGCCTCACGGGGCCGCATAACGATCCATTAGTCGTCGAATTAATGATCGGGGAAAGTACTGTCACCAAGGTGCTTATTGACACATGCAGCTCAGTCAATGTTATTTTCAAAGATGTTCTAATACAAATGGAGGTGGATCTACGCACGGCTGAACAAGACGTTCAACCACTAACTGGATTTGACGGAGACACGGTGATAACGGTTGAAACCATTATGCTTCCCATTTACGTTGGCGGTGCGATGAATTGCTTCAACTTTGCTATCGTCGATAAACCTATCATCTACAACGTTACTTGGTACACCTTGGCTGCACAAAATGAGGGCCTTCGCCTCGACTTACCATCAATGTGTTAAGTTCCCGACCATGCACGACATCCACACATTACGCGGCAATCCGTTAGTTGCGCGTACTTGCTTTCTCATCGAGAAACGGCTTCGAAACGCCAAGGCTTTCGTTATTGCCGAGCCTAACCATCCGCGAGATGCACGACAAGCCCCTCAAACAGAATCCATCATTCAGGTTAAAATCGACACGACCGACCCTGCCCGTTGCGTCGGTGTCGGCGCCGATCTCCCGCTAGTTTTGAAAGATGAACTCGTGGAATTCTTACGCCAGAATGCTACGACCTTTGCTTGGACAATCGACGATATGCCTGGAATTGATCCCAACGTAACCTGCCACGAACTCAATGTCGACCCAACTTTTAAGCCGATAAAGCAGAAACGAAGGAAGCTTGGTCATGATCGTACAACTGCAGTAAATGAAGAGGTAGAAAAACTGCTCGCCGCCGGGTCTATAGTCGAAGTTCGTTATACCGATTGGTTGAGCAATCATGTGGTCGTCAAGAAGAAGAACGGAAAATGGCGTTTCTGCGTCGATTTCACAGATCTTAACAAAGCATGCTCGAAGGATAGCTTTCCTCTCCCGCGAATAGATCAGCTCGTCGAGGCTACAGCTGGCAATGAATTGCTCTCATTCATGGATGCGTTTTCTGGTAATGAATTGCTTATGCAGCATAAGAATGATCGGGAGAAAACAACGTTCATTACCGAACAAGGAACCTTTTGCTACAAAGTCATGCCATTCGGGTTGAAGAACGTCGGGGCAACGTATCAACGACTAGTTTACCGTATGTTCGAAAAGCAGCTTGGCCGAACGATGGAAGTCTACATCGACGACATGCTCGTCAAATCAACCCAAGCCGCCGAACACGTCAATCATTTGAAGCAATGTTTTGAAATACTCAACAAGTACAACATGAAGCTGAATCCTACCAGGTGCACATTCGGCGTAACGTCAGGCGAATTCCTGGGATATCTCGTCACCCAGCGCGGCATAGAAGCTAATCCAAAACAAATATCGGCACTCATCAATCTTCCTTCCCTAAGGAATACCCGCGAAGTTCAACGTCTCACCAGCCGTATCGCAGCGCTCAACCGATTTATCTCTCGTTCCTCTGATAAATGTTTGCCTTTCTACCAACTATTGCGAAATAACAAACGATTCGAATGGGACGACAAGTGCGAAGAGGCTTTCAAACAGTTGAAAGATTATCTATCCTCTCCTCCGGTCCTAGCCAAGCCGGACCAGGGAGAACGTTATATCTCTACATCGCTATCTCCGGGTCAGCAGTCAGCAGGGTTCTAATCAAGGAGGACCGAGGTGAGTAACGTCCAATCTTTTATGTAAGCAAGACCCTCGACGGTGCTGAACTTCGCTATCCTACTCTCGAAAAGCTTGCCTACGCAGTCGTCATCTCGGCCAGAAAACTCCGACCTTACTTGCAGTCCCACACCGTTAAAGTCCTCATGAATCAACCTCTACGAACAATTCTTCACAGTCCAAGCCAATCCGGCAGACTCGCAAAGTGGGCCGTCGAGTTAAGCGAATTTGATATCGAATACAAGCCTCGCACATGTGCAAAATCCCAAGTCCTCGCCGACGTTCTTCCCGAACTCTCTCCCGAACTCGAACCTGGCATCCCCCAATTCGAAAAATGGACATTTTATGTGGACGGCGCTTCTTCCAAGCACGGTTCCGGAGTCGGCGTTCGCTTAGCCTCGCCAACGGGCGAGATACTCGAACAATCATTTCGCCTTGCTTTCTCCTCATCGAACAATGAAGCCGAGTATGAAGCATTAATTGCCGGTCTACGCCTTGCGCACGGGATTGGGGTTAAAAATATACAAGCCTTCTACGACTCCCAACTTGTTGCGAACCAATTCAGTGGCGATTACGAAGCAAAGAGCGACCGCATGGACGCTTATCTAAAGATCGTTCGCGACCTTTCTCGGAATTTTGACCTTTCTGAACTCACTAAAATTCCTCGCAGCGATAACGCACCGGTTGACGCATTAGCAACGCTCGCTTCTACATCCGATCCTGACCTGCGCCGCATCATTCCCGTCGAAAGCATTGACCGCCCCAGCATCGACCTTCACTCAAAATCTACCGTTTTGGCTGATTCATCACCCGTTCCACCAACTGTTGCGTCTGGCAACCCAATAATCGACGCAACAGCCGCTGCCCCAAGCATCGTCTTACTCGTCGTAGAACCCACCAGTAGCGAGGCCAACGATATAATGCGTGAAGTTCACGAAGGTGCAGGCGGGAACCATTCTGGAGGACGAGCTCTCGCACTTCGGATCAGGAAAACCGGCCATTTTTGGCCAACTTTGAATTCTGACTACGAGAAATTCGTCGCGAAGTGCGAGAAATGTCAGCCTCGCGCCCCGTTCATACATGTTACGACTGAACTCCTCCGAACAGCGTCACAACCTTATCCCTTCATGCAATGGGCAATGGATTTCGTCGGTTCGCTTCCCGCATCCCGGCAAAAGAAGTATATTCTAATCATGACAGATTATTTCACCAAGTGGGTCGAGGCCGAGTCATACGCCAAAATTCAATCCAAGGAAGTCCAGAATTTTGTTTGGAAAAACATAATCTACAGGCATGGTGTACCTTATGAAATTGTAACAGACAATGGGACTCAGTTCACTTCGCTACATTTTGAAGGTTTTTGCGCCCATTGGCGAATTCGTTTAAGTAAGTCCACGCCTCGCTATCCGCAAGGTAATGGTCAAGCCGAAGCAACGAACAAGACCATTCTCGACGGTATCAAAAAACGACTTGAAGCAAAAAAGGGCTTTGGGCCGACGAACTCGATGGCATCCTCTGGTCGCACCGCACGTCGCCGCGTCGATCTACTGGTTGTACGCCGTTTTCCCTAGCTTACGGGATGGAATCTCTCGCCCCCGCAGAAGTTGGCGCCCCGACGCTCCGGCGCTCCATGCTCGTTCAAAATCCCACTCTCAATGATCATATGCTCCGTGATAGTCTCGACTGCCTCGAGGAAGAATGAGATAAAGCGCTTCTCCGCATCTAAAACTATCAGCATGCAGCAGCCAAGTTCTACAACAAAAAAGTCAAGCCCCACCGTTTCGCCGAAGGTGACCTCGTCCTCCACAAACTATTCGAAAATACGGCGGAACTAAATGCTGGCAAACTAGGCGCTCATTGGGAAGGACCCTACCTTATCTCCAAGATCGTCAAACCCGGAGTCTACGAACTCCTGACTATGGACGGCACTCAAATTCTCCGCTCGTGGAACTCCGCGAACCTGAAGCGTTACTACTACTAAGGGCAACCGCCGCAAACAAAAAAAAAAAAAAAAAAAAAAAAAACGCTCGAACTAACGAGCTTACCCTTGTAATATGAACTACGAATGGCTTGATCCCTTTCTAAGGGTACTTAGGCAGTCCTTCAAGGGACACAGCTATCTCAAAAAAAAAAAAAAAAAAATTTTTTGCTCGAATATCATTGACGAGCTCTTTCGGACGAGTCCGCCTCGCCGATTGCCTAGCTCCCGCATCTTCGTCCTGGCCAGGCGCACGATTTTAAACGCATTCCGCATGGATGCAGTGGCGAAATAATCCACAACTTTACTTTGTAAAGATTAAAAGCCGGGCCCAGTCTCGCACAACAGCTAGCAGGCGGCCGAACCAATAAGCCGAGCCCCGGCTTGCACATTCTTGCCAACCTCAAAGCAGCCACAGGGTAAACCGGACACCAGAGCCACACCTAAAAAGTACGACGAGTCCATCTCGACTACACCTTCCTAAACTCGGCATTTCGAGACAAACATATAAGATAAGTCAAGAGGCGTCTTGCAATGCGGTATATGTATCGAAGTCGAGTTGCGTAAATAAAGCCGAGCCACGTCTCGCACAAAAACAACGATAATAACCAAAAACAAGCAATAACAAAGTCAAAATAATCACCAAGTCATGAGGCTGAAAGGAAACAAACGAAGTTCATGGAAAAGACCCAACAAAGGGCCGAAAATACATAACGCCGGTCCAACGAGCCACAAACGGCCGGACAAAGTTCATAACAACAAAAGAAAGGGAAATAAGACGCAAGCATACGAAGCAAGTAATAGGCGAATCACTCATTGGCACCTCTAGCGCCGTTTCTTGGTGGCATCTGAAGGGGTTCGAGGTCACTCTCGAAAATGACCGGAACCACAATCTCGTCAAACCTTCGCTGCCAAGCCGGACGATCCGCCGCCAATCTCGCCATCCTCTCCTCAGGAATAAGCATCCCTTTGTTGATCATCTTCTCAAGGCACTCCTGAATTCCCTTCACCTGGTAGAGCGTATACTTAGGAATACTCTGGGCTCGCAGACCGATTATATGTTTTCTCAGCCTCTCTATACGAGCATGGTTATCCGCGATCTCAACTTCCACCTTGTGACGCTCCACTACAGCAATCTCGTCACGAGCCTTCCTAAGTCTCGCAACCTCCGACGCAAGTTTCGCCTTGGCAGCCTTGAGTTGCTCCCTAAGTTCACTTATCATCAAATCAAGACCGCCAACCTTCGCTTTCTCGGACTCGTAGTCCCCCGTACGAGCAGCGACGAACCTCTTGGCAGCCTCCAGAGCAGCCTTGAGCAGATCAGTCTCCCTCATAGCGGCCCTCACCTTCTCCTCATAAAAACCGACCAAGCGGTTCATTTGGCTCATCGACTGTAAGATAGGCAAAGTCAAAAACCGGGAACGCACGTAAATACTAAAGGAACGCAAAGTCAGGAGAAACAAACCTGAAAATTCCGACGAGCTACATCACGATAGAGATCCGCCCCAAGAAGAAAATTCCGACGAGCTACTCAATGAAATCACCGCGAATCTTACTCGCCAACTCCGCGCAGGCACCCCCATCATAATGAAACATGTGATTCTTCGCGCCGTAGTTAAAAGAAAATGAATGATCGACTCCTTCACAGGCTTCCCGAATTGGTACTTCACGCCTGGCAGATCTTCTGACGTTTGACGGCCCAGCTTCTGGACT